TAATGATAGAAATTAGCAAGCTGAATTTAGAGATATTAATTTTCTATTTATTTTATTAAAACTAAAAAATTCTTCATTAAAAGTAACTTTATAAAACAATTTTTGTAAAAAAATTAAACTAATAAAATTTGATCAAATTTTTACATAAATTGCAAAATTCATAGCATAGCCAGTTTTGTGGGGTGGGCGCGAACTTCCTATGTGCATTGCTCTTGCACGATAGATTTTTCCTAAACCATCATACTGATACCAGCCCGCATTTTTGACATTTTCAAATCGAACATCAGCAACATGATGATTACCATTACAAAAAGAAGCCCCCATAAGACGGTATCTATTAAAAAAAAAAAAAAAGTAAAGCCCATATCATAAATTAGTAAGCAGAAACGGAATTAAGATTTACCTTTGTTTTATATATGCGCTTTCTGAAGGAAAACTAATTTCTTCCGGAAGGTCTTTACTTTCAAGATAAAATCCCTCGTTAGTAATATTAATTCCTGCAACATTTACCACAAGAATTAAGGGTAGTCGTTGGTCAATTTGTCTTGTCGAAGTAGCTTTACCCGCACATAGATACAAATGCCTAAAAATATATATACGTATACATACATATATATACACTTATTTAAGTACAGTATACAGGTATATACAGTATATATTACTGTATTAAAAATTAAATAGGGGTAAATAAATTACTTGATTTTTCCGCTTTCTACGGATGTATATTTGTCGATCTTAAAGGCATTCACAGGAACATTTTTTGGTTTCTTCCCATTTATAGTTACAAACTCTGATCCACAGGAGACAATACAAGGCTCTTGCCAATGTTTTAAACACGTTTCAAAGTAATTACCTCCTGGTAACGCTGGTAGTTGCGGTTTTCTAAAAAAAAAAAAAAAAAAAAAAAAAAAAATTTATATTTATTAATGTAAAAAAAACATTACTTACTTACGTAAGCACAATGTCATAAAAGTTTTCTGGTGGCAAAATTTTTTTAGGGCAATAATCTGAATCACACATGGTTGTTACAGTGTTTTTGACAATGAGAAGATTCCAGTTCAAGGAATCGTGAAAAAATTGTTCAAAAAATAGCTCTGAAAGACTTCCAAATAAGCTTACACATCCTGTTTTTAACTTATTATATGATGGTAAGCTTTCAACCCAAAGAAACTTGGCCTCTACCCATTGCTTTTGCTTCATTCGGTCAAAAACTTTGATAAGAAGATGTGTGCGTGAAATGGGGTCAGCGATAGCAAAAGCTGCTGCTTGACTATAGATATTTTGCTGAGTAAAAACGCTTTGAATAAGTGTGAGGCTTGTATCTACTGGACATGTAGAAGTTAAGTGTAATTCGCCTTTCTTTCCTCCATATGGCATTGTATAAACAACATCGTTTCCGTGAGAATCTTTAGACAACTATAAAGACATAATTAGCTTATTTATCCAAACTAAAAAAAAAGGGAGATTCTATTTTCACCTGGGTTAAAGTCGCCCGAATACTACTAATACTAATAATTTAGTTCCGTAAATGATATTATAATTTATCGGGTGACTTTAACCCGAGTGAAAATAGAATTTCCCAAGAAAAAATATATACATAATATTACCTTTACTTTTTTTTTTTACTTGTTCGTCGGCATACCCAATTATGTCAGCTAATTGAACTATACGTTGATCCATATTACCATTTTCGAAAGTGATGCCTACGACAACCATGCCTTCACCAATAACTTCAACAATCTCAACCTTATGGTAAGTCTTATCCAAAGTTGTGTCTCGAAGAAGAACTTGCTCTCCTGGTACTACTCTATTTTTTCTCTTATTTTTGGAACCTCTTTTTTGAGGTAAACTAAGCTCATTTTTATTACGACCATTATCATCCTTCTGACGAAGGTAAGACTCGAGAGAGCTGCTTACAACTGATTCTGTAACGGGTCTACATGAAAAAAGAAAATAAATAATGAGTTTAATTTGCAATTTACTAATTTAAAATTCCTTATTCTTATATATAATATTAATTAAATTGTGTCTATAAATTTTTAAATACAAGCTTGTGAATTTGAATATTAAATTAAGTTTATTATAAAATGTATTCACATCTATCCTTGTACTACTAGTAATTGGTATATTTGCTTTAATTGAAAATAATAAGTTTATTTTATTTTATTTTTTACCTTTCTGGCTTTGATTTATTATTAGAACTATAAAAAAAAGTTAGAAACATTAAGATAAAAAAAAATAAATTACATAAATAAGATAAATATACTTTTGTGATTTCAATTTTCCAATAAAAAAAAAGACAGCTACAATATCCTGACAATCGTGTTCACAAATTACGTTGAAACTACATGGACAAGCGAATTTTTCGCTTCTACGTGTAACGCATAATGTTTTTTCTGACTGTTTTATATTACATTTATCAAATAAGCCAGGTGCCTGAGATTCAGAGTTTTCTTTATCCGAACTATCTTCATCCGATTCGTCAGCAACATATTGGATATTAGCATCCGTACTGAAACAAGACACAATCCAAGTATCCTGGTCAACCTCTAAAATTTAAGGTTAATAGTTGTGAGCGTAACACTAATAAGAGATACATCATTTTGCTGACAGTCATTTCACCGAAAGTTCATTAGCTGGCATCACATAGGGTTAGGTTTAATATTTGATTAGTTGTAAGTATATGTTTTTATTAAATTGTCATCCGATGTGATGTTAGCTAAATAAGTTGTCGGTGAAATGATTGTCGAAGGTGGATTTAGCTTTTCTATGTCAAATTAACAGTTCTTAATACGATTGTAGGAAAATTTTAATATAAGACGTCTAATATACCAAACCTATAATGATTTTAAATTTTAGTTAGATTGATGTGTAAAGGTTTGAATAAATGCTATTTGTATTTACCTTGAACAAGATTTTTCCTATATAATAATTTCCCTTTTATATATACTTTGCTTTTTTCTCGTTGTAACTTTGATTTCATAGGTTGTTTGCCTTCTCCATTCCAAAACCTTAAAAAAAACTTTATTTTTAAAAATATAAAATAAAAAAACAAATAAATCAGCATATATTTACCTTTCAATCTCTCCTGCATCTACGCGCATTGATATACCTATTTTCTCAAGATTTGCATGTAAAGACTTGGTATATCGTCCCCGATAATGTAATATCATATCTTTTTTAAAATAACTCTCTAATAACATATTTGTTTTCATAGGACAGCCATCACGTTTATAATCTGGCCAAGTATCTGTCACGATGTTAAGTTTAATTTTAATTTTAATTTTTTTTTTTTTTTTTTTTTATACTTGCCAATCTAATCGTCGAACCAGTGTGTTCGAAAATAAGATGTGACAGTTTCTGCAATAGTCAAGTTTGTAATTCCGATGGCAGACTGAAACTCTTTAACATCCAAGATAGTAATCTTTCGTCGATCAAATTCTTCTTGGTCTCTAGAACGCTTAACAAACCGAAATTGATAGAATGTTCGATCTCTAATCCATTGGTCATTTAGATGTTTTGTAAACCATTCCTTGAGTGCATCAGCTAGAAAAATAACAAATATTTTAAAAATAAGAACCTAAATACAAATACCGTATAACACTGCCTACAGTACCCGGTATGACAGTTTTTTACATAGAAAAAATCAAAGATCACGTGTATTTGATTTCACATGATAGTATAAATAGTATTTTAAAAATTGATCCATATTTGTCACACAGATTATTGCAGATAGCATTATACGGTAACAAGAATAATTTAAGAA